AACAACTCTAATGCAATGAATCCTATAGAACACTAATTAAAATTAACCTGTACATACATTAACATTTTGTAATAATATTATTTCTACATTTTCAAAAAAACCATTTTTTCTACATCTTGAAACTAAAATCGTTTAAAATTTAACAAATATTAGAGGAGAATACAATTTATAAATGTTAAAATAATTTAAAACTCATATGGGATTGTAAATTTTAAGTGGTTAAAAAATATCTAAATAAATTTTGATATAAACAATAATAGTTTATAGATTACGTCAAAAATAAACTAAATTTGACAGTAATGTTGTAATGTTATTAATCAAAAAGTTTGCCAAGAAATCATAAACAAGTCTTAATAGGGCAATCGAATTAAAAATGGACACTCACAGGCTATTCACAGCGCCATATCCTACTTATTTTTTTTATTTTTTTAAGTTTTTGTAGCAAAATAATCAGCCTTTTAGCTATTATTGATTCGAATATTTACCAAATACCAACTCTCAACCAATTGTGTAACCTTATAAATATATATACATTTATTTTTAGGGCCCAGAAATTGTGCATGTTTCAAAGTTTTATAAAGAAGGCATAGAAGGAAAATTTCTAAGCAATATAGCACCAGATGCTAGGACCTTGTACGAGACGTTTCGGAAAGGCGCAAAAGTTTCGAGTAATATATTATAATTTTGTCCATATTTCGCAATGTATTATGAACTACACCTAATACAATTAATGATTTCTCATATATTTTTAGACAATGGGAAGTGCCTAGGTTGGCGTGAAAATATCAGTAAACCATTTCAATGGATTCATTATAATGAGACATTACTTCGCGCTCGAAATTTCGGTTCAGGTCTATTAGGTCTTGGTTTTCCGAAAGCTAACCAGATTTTCATCGGAATTTTTAGTCAAAACTGTCCCGAATGGATTTTAACAGAGCAAGCGGCTTATTGCTTTTCCATGGTGGTTGTACCACTTTACGATACATTGGGTCCAGAAGCTTGTTCGTTCATTATAAACCAAGGTATTGTTAGTATTATTATGTATTTCGTGTGGAATAAATTATGTGAACACAGTGAGTCAATTACCGTTAAGATGGATATCAGGGGGAGGGGTGCTTATGGTTAATCGTCTGACGTGGTATGTGATAACTTAGCGGAAATATCAGCGGTGGTGGTCGACACGGACGAGAAATGCAACCAGCTATTGGACAGATCACCCAAGTGTCTTCGACGGATAATTGTCATCCGCGGTGCTCGACCATCGACTAGTCAGAAAGCTAAGAACCGTGGTGTAGAATTATTGACTTTCGAAGAAGTGGAGAAAGCTGGAGCATCTAAAACGTATCCAGAACAGGTAGTCATTTAAATTTATTTAACTTAAACACACGACCACTCATGACCAGTTTTTTTTATTTATCTGTGGATTCGAATTTAAAATCAAGAATATATTTGTTGTTCATTTTTTTCAAATTAAAAATATTATATTTATAAAAAAACACTAACGTACACGTATTGGTCATCAACTCAATAGTCAATAACACGTATTTAAAATCTATTTTATCTGCAATTATAAATTATAACAACGGCGTTTAATCATAAATCATAATTAATATATTGGAACTGATATTTTGACCCGAATAAGTCTGAACTCATAATTTACTTGTCTGTAAACAGCCCCCAAAACCTACTGATTTGTGCACGATATGCTACACTTCGGGCACCACGGGATTACCCAAAGGAGTGATGCTGACCCACGGCAACGTAGTGGCAGCTGTTAGTGCCGTTCTAGTGCAACTTTCCCAATACAGGCCGAGCGTGGGTGACGTGATGATCTCGTACTTGCCTTTAGCACACATGTTGGAAAGGTGTTGTGAAGTAGGTATACAATGAATACTTGAACGACTCGCACGTTCCATCTAACGTCGATAATGTCCGTGCCCACAGAACGGCATGTATTTGGTCGGCGGTTCGGTCGGTTTTTACAGTGGAAACATCAAATTTCTGTTTGAAGACATGAAGGTGCTGAAGCCGACGATTATGCCCAGTGTCCCTCGTCTGCTCAACAGAATCTACGAGACGGAAATGGCGAACATTGTTCCACAGTTTTTCAAACGCGTCATGTTCAACATGGCGCTCCGGTCGAAAGAAAACGAAATTAAAAAGTTTGGTTTGTCTCCTAATTTTATTATCGTTCAAATGACTTAGTCGCTTTACTCTGTGCTTGTTTTTTTATTTAGAGGCATCGTCCGGAAGAACAGCATCTGGGACCGGTTAGTGTTCGGCACTTTGCAGAAAAACATGGGCGGACGCCTGAGGCTGATGATCACGGGCTCAGCCCCGTTGGCCGGTAACGTTTTGACTTTCATGAGATGTGCCCTCGGATGTATAGTGAGTTAAGCCGACTAAAAAATATATTCATGAGGCACATGTTGTATTAGCGATTAGCGAACCTACATTATTGTGTTCATCAGGTGGTAGAAGGATACGGCCAAACCGAGTGTACGGCGCCGATTACGCTTTCGATCCAAGGAGATATGCATACAGAGCACGTAGGACCACCAATAGCTTGTAACTTGGTTAAACTGGCCGACGTACCGGAAATGGAATACTACGCGACGTCTAACCAAGGAGAAATTTGCGTAAAAGGGTCTAACATTTTTCAAGGGTACTTTAAAGATCCCGATGCTGTTTCGTTCGATGATCACGGGTGGCATCATACCGGAGACATTGGAATGTGGCTTTCAGTGAGTATCAAAAACACATTAAGTTCATACATTATTTATCTTTCCATTGTACATGTATTTATTTATGCAAATTTTGTAATAACAAATAATTATAATATCTATTATTTATTTAAAAGTAAAAAGTAGTATTTTTTTGTTTTTAGAACGGCACACTTAAAATAATTGATCGCAAGAGACATATATTTAAACTCTCTCAAGGTGAATATATTGTTCCAGAAAAAATAGAAACAATTTATCATAAAAGCCAATATGTGAAACAAGTATTTGTCCACGGAGAATCGTTAAAGGTAATGTATATTAGATGTTATCATGTTAACCATTATTTAAATGTTTCTCGAGAGCAAATTAGAACTTACAACCAAAATAAAATTCACTTTTGATATTAACTAAAGATATTTTCTTGTATAGCTTATTTTTCAATTATAAGAAACATACCTATACAATATACATATACTATTTACAGAAGCTGTAAAATTAAATTGAATCTGTTTTTATTACTTCATTTTAACTATGTCTTGGGCGCCACAGTAGCAATCTTAATAGATTTTTAAAAGTTGAATTATTCGTATGAATAGGTGACCTAAAATTATTATGTTTATTATGTAGTACAAATTATATGTTAAAATACAAATATTTAGGTTTAATTCATCATATAGTTGGCCATCTTCCAACTCGGTAAAATGTAAATCTTTATACATACAACATACTATAGTGTTTAAGTCTTAAGACTATTTAAACTTTTAAGTGTAAATAATAACATAATAATTGTCTTTCATGAAGCTTAGATATCTTTCAAGAATTAAAACATTGCTAAGTCTATATGAGTTCAACTAACTGACATTTTATCAAATAGCTGTTTAAATTAATTAAAAATATGAAATGTTTAAAGACAAAAATTGAAATTAACTATAAAAAAGTGGGCAGTAATTCAAAAATAATCGTCTGGATATTTTTAGGTCTTTTTTAAATTATTATTTATTTTTACATTTCAGTCATTTTAATTAGGTGGCCAATATTTTTACACGATGTTAATTAATGAGTTTATCCTTCACAATATTGTATAACAGTATATATTTATAGTAATAACACAACTTTCTATAGGTATTAATGAAAAATGTCTCGTCCAAGAGTAAGACATTGAAATAATTTTATATCTGAGTGTACGGATACTTTACGTTATTTTTATGTTTTTACTGTTGTAGTCGTGTATCATAGCCATCGTGGTTCCCATGGTGGACGTCATTAAATCTTGGGCGCAAGAGAATGGCATATCCGGTACGCTGTCAGTGTTGTGCGCGAACCCCGAGGTCAAAAAGCTCATTATGGATGACATGACGGCTTGGGGAAAAGATGGTGGTCTTAAGTCATTCGAACAAGTACTAACCTACTATTTTATTCGTTATCATTATGAGTAATATCAATGAATTATTTTATTTATTATTCTTAAAACGTTTGATTATTAGTGTGTAATGTGTACCTAGACGTAAATTAGTCTAAGCAACCTATTAATCGTACACGCATTATTTTATTGAAGGTGAAAGACATCTATCTGCATCCGGATCCTTTTTCTGTGCAAAACGGACTGTTGACGCCTACGTTCAAAATGAAACGTCCCCAGGTTAGGTCGTACTTTGCGCCGCAGATCGAAGATATGTACATGAAGTTGAAATGAAAGTATACATAATATAATTTATACATTATACATACAATATGAATGACGATGTCAAATGCAATAATATGTACTTGCCTGTTATATTGGATGCAATATTCTTATCTATATCTGTTGTACGCGTATTTAATGATAATATCAGTATTATAATAGGTATATAATAATAATATAGGTATTGATTATACGATTTCTTTTGGCAATAATAATAATTTGTTAAACATTATAATTCTGTAAAACGTGTAATAAAAACTTTGCTGAAGACCAAAACGTATTGTTATTTTCTATCATAGACACTTTAAAATGTAGGTACAGACGTACTTATTATATTATATTTAATTTGTACACCAATTTTATTTCGCAATTTATTCCGCATTAACTCTTTGTAAGATAATTATATTTTCGTCCGATCATATATAGCATAGTAATAATTATTTTTATCATTCAGTAAAAACTCAAAATAAATTTATTATATATACGAGTATGTACAAATATAATAAAATAAAAAAAACTTACACTATCAGTTTATTTATGTAGAATAATGATTATAGATTTGTATTTAGGTAGGTAGATACTTATTTATGGTTTATATACAATATAAATACACAAAAGACTTTTAATTTACTATTTACAGCTTTTCCTCGATCAAAACGTCAAAGTTTATTAGTGATTCTGGTGATGGACTTTTATTCCATCGACAGTTTGGGATTCCTATAAAAATTATTATTACATTATAATATCACTAGATTAATAGGTAGTTATGGCTTAAAATCGAACGATTGTAAACTAGGCCCGTGTTTTTTTCAGGTAAAAATTATTTAGGTGTTAACTCGGCCCGGATAAAATGTTTTTATATAATTTTCTTATAATATTTTTAAGAACCATTTAGCATTACCCAGAAGACAATAGGAAGAGGCGATTCTCATTATCCTCCAAAAATTATTTTCATTTTCGTATTATTATTCATAGTATGAAAATCGTTACATAACTGTAAAATGTATTTATGTAAATTTGTAATTGTAAAAAGTGTAAAAATATAATGTATAAATCTATTTTTTAAGTAAAAAGCTATGTGTTTAACGTATTCACTTACTGATATTTCCTTATTTTTAAATTTTGTAAGTGGTCTTTCTAAGAGTTCTCTTTTTTTTTTTTTAGTTTTCATATCCTGAAATTGGAATGGTGCATCTAGGCTGTTGATTTTAATGTACGTTTCTGTTTATATATATTGGGGTGAGTGGAATTGAAATTTGAATTAAAATGCGCATGAAACGATTCACATGCATTAGTTGTTAAACACGTATCAACTGATGCACAGGCCCACAAATTAGGTGGAAACATAGCATCTTCTCCTACGTAAATATTATCGGGCCGAGATTACAACCGACTTTTTTTATTACGTGAAATTTCCGGGCCGAGTTTACAACAAAAAAGGTAATCGTGGGCCCAGTTTACATTTGCCCTTAAAATCGTAGAGTGTGTAACCTCTAAAAAGGTTTAATATTAATATAAAAAATGTCTATATAGTATATATAGGTGGTATATCATAAACCCTATATACCTTATATGTATAGTATATATAGACATATAGTCATATAGTCTAATATGGTTTATAATTATCGAGTGTTATAATAGGCATAATGAATACTTAATAATATAATACTTATGAATTAAAAATATAAAAGGGGATACAAAAATATATTGTTTTTTTTTTTAATAGTATTTTCATTGGAACTTTTTATTTGTTAACATTTTGGTACTGACCTGATGGTGGTAAAACAACGGAAACGATGCTGTCGATAAGTTTTGATTTCAGTATGTGATCACTGGAAGTTGTACACGTGAGCGATGGTGACGAGTTCACTTCAATCAACCAAGGTTTGAGGTATTCGTCCACAATAATATCATAACCATAGCATTCGAAACAATGTGTATCGTGAGACATGACGCTACAAACAGCCTTCAAAGAGTGTACAATTATCGATGATATATCATCGAATAGTTTTAGAGTACGTTTTTCACCTCGTGTACTGGTCAAATACAATTTTAGATTTTCAGTGGACCATTTACCTCCATGAATATTATTATAATCGTCGCCTAAAGTTATTTAAATATGATACAAAATAGTTGATTATATTATAATGTATAGCTTATAGGTAGTATCAACACATCATAAAATATATATATATATGTATGCTAGTATGCATAGGTGGGAATCAATGGAAAGTGGGCTTAGACTCATGAAATGTCTTTCAGCTCCCCTATAAACAAATTAAAAAATGATTGTTCCCAAAATATCTTATTAGTAGATAAATAAAATAATAGTAGGTATACTAAATGTATTGACTGAAAAAACTTCTGATTGTCATATTTTAATAGTATTTTGCATTTTACTGTATGGTTGCTTTGAAACTTAAATCCAATAAATTCAATAAATCATTGTAGGTATACAAAAAAAAAAACAAATCTGAGCGAAGAAGATAAGCAATTTAAACTAAAATGCTCATTAAATAAAATTGTGCTCATGTCTTTTCAATTTATTTAATTGCTATAGGAATAACTTCGGAGGCACATCGTATCGCATTTCCAAATCTTAGGGATTTAAATTCGAAATGTTATGAAGTTTTAAACACAAAATAATATCCATATGCATTTTTGAGATTTTGAATAGAATATTAAATTATTATTATTCTGTATTTTTGTATACAAGATACCTATACTTATTTAAAAAAAAAAACAACTTAATAGTTTTGTAACGTTATCTACTGTGATATTTTAATGTATTCGAGAAATCAACGAGAAAAAAATTGAACTGTATTTTAAGTAGTTAGTCCCCTCCCCCCAATAATGGTGCACGATTTCAGCCTATGGTATGCACATAACGATTTTCTCAGCTCTTCATGCGATGAGACCTACAACTGTAATCGCATATAATATTATTATAAAGTAGACCTGATAGTATACCCTTTTCAATTTTTACCTATTTCATTGTAAGCCCAAGTGCGTCTGAAGTCTTATCCACAAATTATATTAAAATATTTTAAATATATACACATACCTAACATAAGTTGTTAACCTAAATTAATTTTAAAATTACCATGTACGTCGATTAGTATTATTAAAATGTATATAATACATCGTATTCACTACCTTCTTTTTGTACTGAAACGTTCGTCAAATGAGCAAATAAACAATTTATGTCCATCAAGTGTGCGTTATATTTTACACTACAGAAACGACAAAAACCAAATTTAAACAAATATGCTTTTAATGGATGAAATGTTGTAACCAAAACGTAAAGACGTAAATCAAACTTTTTTCCACTTATCAACAAAGGGTTTTCAATGTATCTGGTCCAAGACAAATATTAAAAATGTTAATTAAATATAATGACCTTATACAACATATAGGTAAGTAGGTAATTACCTATACAAAACAATATCAACAAAAATATATACCTCGATATTATATAAGTTTCTTTTTTAATTGATGAATTCTTAGGATATTTTTTTTCCTTGGACCATTTCTTTAACTGAGACAATTTGTCTATTAGAAATATCCCTGTGCCTCGTGATTTTCCACATGGTTTTACAATCCAAGTACTTGGATGTTTGCGATATTCTTCTAAGAATAAATGATAATCAACGGGTAGTACGTAAGTTGTAGGAATAAAATCCAAGTACAAAAATGAACCACTATCGCATTTTGTAATAGTGGTGCCACTTTTTAGCAATTCACGATGATAACGTCTAATATTTCTGTGAAACGTAAAAGAATAAATTATGTAAATGGGTGTGTGTGTGTGCATACATATGTATTAAATATACAAATACCATAATTTAAAAAAGATTAAAATACAATAGAGAACAATTTCAACAAAAAAACTGTCATAGAATTATAAATACTCGCCGATATCCAAACGATTTTTACATGGGATTTTTAAATTATTTTAAATTATTATGGTTAAGTCAGTGTACCTAAACACATGACCTTATATAGAAACATTGAGCTTATAAATGTATAATTATTAAAATTTGAATTAAATACATATTTATTCTTTATTAAAATATTAAATTTGCCCAAATTAACAGACGAGTTGAGATGTATTAGTAATAAATAAAATGCTTAACTACAAATACTATGGATACACATATATTATGAAGTTATTTTTTTTCAATATTTGTCAATAATTTTTATCCATGTTTAAAAAATTTAGAATATAATCAAAAAGCTACCTTCCTAAAGTATAATAGGTACCTACTATAACTATGTACATTTCCAATTAGAACTCCTACAGCTACTAACAAAAAAAGTCAACAAATAATTAATGAAGCTTAGACAGAGCTTACAATTTATTTTTTGTAACCTTAAAAAAACTACTTAAAATATTTACATTAGTTTCTTAGAATAAGCATATTATTCTTCATCGTTTTTTTTTCTATTCTTCTTTAGTTTTGATCATAATAAAATATGAACACCTAGTTACCCATGCTTAAATATCTAAAATTAAAATAAAACTAGACTACCTAGCAACAAATGATTAAGTACTTACATCTTAACACACTAATGTATGCTATGAATTTATGATATAATGTATAATACTGTATTCGTCTATTCATAATATATAAATACGACATTACCTTATGAGTAAATCTTTTCTGCCGAGTTCATAGTGATTTGGGAAATGATTTACTATCTGATAGTCTTTCAATCTATAGTTTTTGTCTGCATTAAACAAACAACGACAAGTTTGTAGACTAGTCCAATAGAAATTCCATTCGTCTTCAGGGCCTACATGTATCCATCCTCGTTTTTCGAAGTTACTTAGTAACACAGAACGATCTATGTCGACGCAATACTTCATTTTAATCATATCTATTTTTTTTTTTTTACATTACATAAGACATAGGCATGAATTATAATTACTGACAGTTACGCGAGTAATTTGGACTCTCTCCTTAACAACCGAATATCAAGGAAAAGATGCATTAAATTTGTATAGCTTAAATAAACAAAATAAACGTACTAGAAGCTGAGAGCAATGACAATAGCCAACCAAAAACTTTAAATTATAAATGTTTAGTGACATATTATTTTGTTCATGTAATCTTAAAACCAGGACGAGTGTCTGCTCCAATGTTTTTTATCACAATATTTTAACATTTTTAAGCCCGCAGTTTTACCAGCAGCCAAATCAACTTTATTTGTTCAAATAATAAGTAATGACTAGGGCTGGGATTTCGATGCACTTGGCATTGTTTTCTCAAGCTTACTGTGCGAAGCTCGTCTAGTCACAAATTTATTTTATGTACTTTTGAATGAGAATAAAAAAGTTCATTTAGCATTTTTTGGAATTTTGTAAGATTTTTAGTTTTTAGGTTATTTTTGACATTTTTTAGAGCATTTTAGGGGCTTTTAAATAATTGTTGATGTTTTTGAATTTAAAATTAAAGATTATAGATTATAAATTTACAATATAAAATATTTATATGCTAACAATATATGAAAACCCAAATGACCTATTTCTTATCTACAGTACTTACATATTAAATTTATATTATATAAAATATATATATTCTTAACCAGCATAGCGATCTACTAGAGCTAATTAGAAACTTCTGGATTATCTTTGATTGAATCCATTATCGTTGTTGATAAAATTAAAGATGAAATTCAAAAAGTGCCAAATAAAATTGGAAAAATCGTTTATCAAAAGCTTACTGCGGTTTTAAATAAAAATGAAGGATTCAAAATTATTTCCAATATAATATCTGATATTTTAAACGGACAAGAAGGTATACATAATTAATTTCCGGGTGATCTTCAGCGAGTGATCTGACGTACTTTATATACTCACCTATAACTTCAGTAGATGTAGAAAAGAGCTTTTCTATCTACAAAAACTTATTGGCGGACAACAGGAGGGCATTTCTATTTGAATATCTGAAGCACGCTATCGTGATTCAGTGTAACAATGAAGAATATTTTTTTATTTATTAACATATGAAGACATGAAGTAAAATAAAACATTTATGTACATTTAATGTAATTTTTTTTAATTTCAAGCCATTTTCAATAAATTTTAAAGACATTTTTTGAGTTTTTAAAGTCATTTTTGCATTTTTTTTTAAGGTAATTTTTCGAATTTTTTAAAGACATTAAAAACCCCAGCCCTAGTAATAACTATATTAATATTTAATGGATTGTTGTAGAGCTTTTTTTTCTGAAAATTGTATTTTGTTTAACTAAAATGTGTACGTTTCTAATATTATATTATTCAATTATTATTATTTATTTTGTTTCTTATTATGAAACTTTTTTACCTGGTTATTTCGGGTAAAATTTACGGTCGTGTAAAATCTGCCACAACAACAGAGTACCGACGATTGCACTCGTTTTACCTATTTGGCAACAGAATAACAAAGAACATTATTTTGCCTATTGAAGGCCGTTCGATTGGGTATGAATTAGGTGCGATGTTGCCAAATTTTCTAAAATTAATTTCAGTTAATATATTTCAGTTATTTTTAAAATTTAAATATAGATATAAATACTTTCCAAGAATTTTATAACAGAAAAAAAATGTTATTATACCGCTAATAGTTCATAAGTTCAAACTCTGCAGTCTACATCATAACGATTAAAAGACGATAAAGTTATTATTTTAAAAATATATTCATTAAAAAAATATCGTTAAATATGTAGAAATAACACAAAATTTTAAATTTTAAAAAGTGGATGAATTACATTTAATATTTTTAAATTAGATTTTAAAGATCCAATACATATTTCCAACTATGACCAAATATTTAAATACATTTTTGGCGCTTTATTTTTTACATACTCTTTCTGTTGCTTATTTAAATTTTGTATAATAAACAAACAGGTTCACTTTACGTCTCAAAAATATAAATCATAAAATATATCAATTATCAACAGTATGGATATATAACGTGCATCTATATATTTGGCAACGTTGCTACTTGCTTTGAAGTCAAAATAATATAGAGCTTACAATCGCAAAGAGCCCATTCAAACTACTATCGAATTCAAAAAACTTTTGCTTTCGGAACTCAAAACGATCTTTCTATACAAATTGTAAAACTTATTTAAGTCAATTATTAGGAATAAATATATTTAATTAAATACTACAATAAATTAGATATAATATTTTATATTGTAATATTACTAATATTTTGTAACATACTTTCTGTTTATTGAATTCTACAATTATCTTCATGACTTGTTAGTTGTTTTATTTTATATGATTTGAATATAAAATATTTGACCTCGTTAGAACAGATCATTGTATTAATTGATGAACTGTGTATTCGGATATCTTTTAATATTCATTATTAATATCATTGTGCTATAATATTGTACTTTTCTTTTTTAGGCGAATAGGTGGTCGAATGATAAATTAATCATTTAATCATATATGATCATCATTAATACTCATTATATTATATTATTTATAACAACAAATCCAACTTATAACGTTTAAATAAATATGCGTATAATAATATATAATATTTTAATACTGAATATTATGTTTCGTGAAAATGAATTTATTTCCGCCGCTAATATCAAAACAAGGAATAACATTAAAACATTCGTGTGAGAGTACATCAAAGGACCAAGTATAATTTATTTATTTTTATTATTATTACTTTATTGTAATATTCTAAAATCATTTAAAATCTATACAGTATAATAAGTGTGTAATGATTACATTTAATAGTAATGGCTAGTGACAGGATGATATTAGCATTTATGGACAGACACTCAGCAATGCCACTCGAAACTAGAGTATAATTTATAAGTTATATGTAACTTCTTAAAATATTTTATAACGTAATAATGTGTTTATAGTTTATAAACATATATAATATTATGTATTAAAAACTTTTCTCTATACTATACTGCATACAGAATAAACACGATCGCAAAATATAAATAATTACGAGTGTCACTCAGTATTCTTGTTTTCGTGTTATAGTACCCCCTGTATATTTTATATCTCCGATCTTTTCTACAAATTATAATGGTTCTACCACAGAATAGATATTCTACTAACAAGCAGACAGATAATATGTAGTAAAAAAAAAAATTAATAAAACACATAATATTAAATTGTATTTATATGTTACTGTGTTAGTGTTACCTGGCGTCTGGATTCTTTATCGACTGTAGGTGGGAGGTGGGACACAGCATTCTTTGTAGGTACGCATCACCTATATTATACGATTATGTACACTACACAAAAATACCAGTTTTTAATCCATCCTAAAAAGTTAAGTGTCGTAACAAGTTAAAGGTCAACAATCAGTGGTGTTATACATAGTAACAATAATATATGATGATAAGTTCTTATATTATTAAGAAATATGATAATATTTATTTATGATTGATATGAAATCAACATATCATAGTACTTAATATTATTATTATTTTATAGGACTCTAGTGTTAGGTGACGTCGATAATATCCACTAAACTTACTGTGGTGTGTAGCCAATGCATCATGAAAGCTTTTATAGAATTTTAAACAGTCAGATTATGCGAGAATTTTTTATATTTAATGATTATTTAGCAATAGTGATATTAATAACGAAAGAGGAAAGACAATGATATAAGTATATATAACACTGTAAGTGTAGGTAAAAGTATTTAAGTATAAGGTTATATATCTATAATATATAGTTAGGTTATACATAACAATAAAATTAACAACTAACAAGCTGTAATTTGTCTCTATTACAGTAAGTTTTAAAACCAACGCCCCATGTTGATAAGTTTTTTTAATTACAACTTACTAGATTTATAAATAATATAAAACGGTGAAAATAAACAAAATACTTAAATACGTTTTAACTTTTATAGGCTCCGGCGATGTTTCCGAAGTTGCTGTGGTTGTCAAGTGGCGTGAATGTGCCGTGAACGAAAAAAGGTTGAGAACCACTGCTATTGAGTATACATATTGTATTGCGTACGACGCCGCCGCCGCAGACGGCCGTGACAGGTGATCGTTTTATTGTTATGCTACGGCCTACGGACAGACGGCATTCCATGGAATTATGTAAATATTTTTTTTCTTATAATAAATTCATCGAAACACTAAGTGTGTGTAGGACGTACGTGCTGGATATAATACTATGGAGAACGACCGTAATATTTTGTCCGTGCCACTCGTTCCCCCTACAATATACCGAACAATTTCGGTCGAAGCCGGTCGGCCACAGGCGTCGTTGTTTTTCGTGTATACGCTGTATACGTAGTGGTAGCAATCACAATGATTTCACTATTTGTTTTTGAACAAACGTTTAAGTTACAATGTATTTTTTACACGATTTAAGTGGCTGGGCTATCAGAATACCTATCGTTATAGACAAATTCTTATGTTTCTTGTGTGTTTTAAGGTTTTAACATACTATTGATATTTTTTCTTTTTCTTTTTTTTACGTAGTTTTCGAAATTCTATAAGCATTGGATAAACCGTGCGAGTAAATAATATATTATTTTGTCATCTGTGACGGTCGGTATCCTTCAGTACGAAAACGTTTTATGTAGGGTTTCCCTACATGTATTAACAATTCAATAGAAGTGGACGGGAAGCAAGACTATTGAACGCTAATGTGTGGTGGATTGTGGAATTGTGGATGTGTCAACATGCGTGTGTGTGTGTGTGTGTGTGTGTGTGTGTGTGTGTGTGTGTGTGTGTGTGTGTGTGTGTTATAGTACCTCAATTAGAATAAATGTCAACACAAATTTACGATATGAAAATAAAATGATATAATAATATAATATATGCTTCAATAATTATCTTTCAAAATAATACACNAAACGTTTTATGTAGGGTTTCCCTACATGTATTAACAATTCAATAGAAGTGGACGGGAAGCAAGACTATTGAACGCTAATGTGTGGTGGATTGTGGGTGTGTGTGTGTGTGTGTGTGTGTGTGTGTGTGTGTGTGTGTGTGTGTGTGTGTGTGTGTGTGTGTGTGTGTGTGTGTGTGTGTGTGTACTTTTATTAGAATAAATGTCAACACAAATTTACGATATGAAAATAAAATGATATAATAATATAATATATGCTTCAATAATTATCTTTCAAAATAATACACAATATATAAATGCATGGCCTTTTTGGCCCAACAAGTAAAAGTTATTGGTCGTCTGACTCTATAAATTGTTCAATATATAATAAATAATAATATTGCAAGCTATTTGAGCTGCTAGAGAATAATAATATGTGGCCTAACAATATAATAGTACAAGGCAGCTATTTGAGCTGTAATATAAAAATAAAATATATAATAATAATAAATTACTCACAGTACGTCGGTGCTCTGCTGGACAGCCGCTACGTATACCAACAATAAATAGGTAATAAAAAGAGTGGCGTTCAGCGCACCCACACAGTAATGCAATAATAAATTTGGCGATTCGCTACTGCAAAAATGAAATAATATCGTATGATGGCGATTTGCGCACTACAATAATTACTCCGCGTTAGCTATACGGAACGTAAACTAAAAGAAAAAATAATTAAAAGAACTAAAAGAAAACTAAAAACTAAAAGACACTGCTGCACAGCGGCGGCCTATGCTGACCGGTGCTCCGTCGCGGCATTATCTACATAATAATATTATATAATTATTCACAAGATAACGTCATAATACAATACAAAAATAAAAACAATATAGCTCACGGATATGTCTGCTTTTGACTGTGTGTGTCGGCAGGTGGTGGTTGATGTATTAATAATAATATTGTTGTTTTTCGGGCGGCAACAATATTTTTATTTTATATACATTTAAAATAATTTCATATTGTACGTCATCTCATCTGTACTATTATTGTATTATAGCGCGTTGTTAATAACTATCGTCTTGAAAACAATTATAATTTATTGATTTTGTTTTTATTTTGTATAGTTGATCCCGTGCACTTCATTGTCCGTTAAAAATACTAACTCTATATGATTCAAAATGTGTGTTAAACTTGTTATTTAATACCTGTTGTAGTCCTGTTCAAAACTTCGAGCTGTTTTTACCCCATTTTTATCTTCAGTTAAAACGTTTAACATAGTTGTTTAACCCTTAATGCAGGTCTATTCAATTATAATACCTTATACTTCTATATACTTTTATTTGAATAGGTGAAACAATTTTTTGAACTCTGAACCTAATTACCAATTGCTATTTTCTTATTCATCTATATTAAATTCTGTGACCAGTAATACTTCATAAAAATATCTATATATTATTATAATTTCTAAAAAAAATCCTTAAAGCAGTAAAAAAATTAAAGGCAACTTATCTTGATTAAATCAATTTAGATCCTTGGGATTTTGTAGCTTTCTGATGTTAAAAAAAAATTGCATCGGGTAAGTAGTTCCAGAGATTGCCACAATTAAAAGAACAATTTTTCTTCTTTACATACTACTAAAGATAACATACAACTTTTATTTACTGAGTAATATTTACGTGTAGGTAAACCCTTATACGTTAGTAATGTGTTAGTTTAACACGGAAAAAAGATACTTCAGATTATTACTGCCATTTATTACTATTATTACACTGTAAAAACGATAGTAATCAAGACCGTGCACAAGATCCTTCGCAAACACTGCTGTTTAAACAGTCTAAAAAATAATGGTTAAATGTACACTCGCTCACACACAATTATTTTTGTAGTGATATTGATTCTACAAAAAAAATAAGTACATATTAGTCGTGTATCGTCGCATTTATGGTAAATGAATATGAGTATTATTCAAAATAATTTTGGTACTTCTGTTTACTAAGTACCTAATTTTCTTTTACTTACTTTTTAATCACTTTATGAACCTTACTACTATGTATTCATTAAATAGTACTATACATAATACTACTATATAGTATTTAGTACTTAACTACTAACTTGTAATTATGTACCTATTATAGTATTATTGTACATTTTATTATAACTACATTTACGGTTTTTGTGTACGCAATCAATTTTCACATTAAAACTCTTTAAGATTAAATAAATTATATTTTTTTTCAAAAACTAATATTAAGAAATCTAATAAAACTGTTTTTTTTTTATTAACTTTTATAAAAAAATTTTGCTCAAATAAAACTGTTATATTTATATTTTAACTTGCAAGACTATGGTGGACCCATCAATTAAATCCATCTACCAATCACAGATTAATTATGCCATCAATTTCACATCATATTTACTATCATACACAAAATTAAATAAAACGTGCGGAATCGTATTCCTAACATGGCAACGTCACATTTGAATACAATACGGAGTTGGGTGAAAAAAAAAGGTTAACTCAAACAATGAACGTAAGGTTGAACGTATGAAGGTATGAAGCATATCCACAAATTTGGAACTCACGCCATCCGGATCATAAAAATAGGAACATAGTTCACGATGCGTGGAAAGAAATAGAAAACAAATTAAGGTTAGTTTTTTTTTTAAGATTAATTTTTGATTTTTTATAATAATTTTGAAATAAAATATGTTTTTAAATATTGATTTTTGTATTTTTGTAATTTTAGTGTCAAAACTGATGTAACAGAAATAAAAAATAAAAAGATTCTCTTATGGCTACTTATAGGAAACTTTTAAACAAAGTTAATAAAAGTAAGGGTACTGGAAGTGGTGCCAAAGACGTTATTCAGCCCGACTGGTTCGCCTATAATGCAATGTCATTTCTGCATGGGATTTACGTTGCAAAAAAAACAATTTCAACAGAGGTAAGTTTAATTAGTTATATTTTGTTTAATTATATTTTATTATTTGAGTACAATACGACTTTATCATACATTTTGTATGCTGCAGTAGCCAAAGGTACTCATATTATTTAACTAATATATATATATTTATTATTTTTTATACTTTTGCTATGATATATTTCAATAATTATATTTTCCTAAATACGGCCCTGTGCATGTAATTATGACTTAATATGTTAAAAATGCCAATGGCCAATGCAGGAAATATAAATATAAATATAGTAATCATTTACGTTGCTCTAGTCGCCGGTTTAGACAAGTAGTAACCGGTGTCGACATGTATTCTACCAACCATAAACCAAATGTTAATTTATTGTAGTTGTTCATAGTCTCTATATTGTTATTTTTGTTCATATAGGTATTTATGGTTTTAAATATTTTACGATATAGCTGTAAAAATAAATATGAATGACCCGAAATAAACTTCTATATCGTCTATATAATTTTAAAAGCACCATCTAAAAATTAAAGAGAAATGAATAAAAATTTAACCAATAAAATAGTTTCAATGAAATAATTATTTATGTATTTATCATAAATATTTTTAAGTTTTAGTTTGATTTAAAAAATGAATACTTCTTTCAACTTAATATGTTAAATTTATTTTATTAATGCTGTTTTTATTAGTGTATATAATAATGATAATAATAAATAAAAAACGTAAATATAAATACGTAAATACGTTAATTACAAATATGTTACATATTAAGCAATAATAATTTTATTTTAATTTATTATTTGGCGTTTTCTTGCCATTCCACTGTTCCGCTTGTCATAAAATATTCAGCTAACTGATCTCTAACCATTTTTGCTTCAAGGCCAGATTTTCTCGGTACTCTTTGTAATGGAAGCATAGATTTGGTACAATTTTGTTCGGACCTCCAAGAGCCTGGAATTACAATTCCATCATTATTTTCAGTATCGAAAATTCCAGGTGGTGTGTATATAGAATTCGATGATCTGCTTCTTCTTAAGAAATTATGCAACAATACACAAGTCATTGTTACATCTCTAACTTTTTCTGGCTCTAAAAGTATAGGTCCTCTAAATACACGGAATACTGAGGCCATAATTCCAAACACGTTCTCAACTACTCGGCGTGTTCGAGAAAGCCGGTAATTGAAAATTCTTTTGCAATTTCCATTTTCATATACTTCTGAGTAAGGTTTCATTATGTTCTTACTTAGGGCAAAAGCTTCATCTGTCACAAATAAATATGGTAATGAAACATTTGTATTAGGTAGTATTCCTTCTTGTGGTATTAATAATTCATTTGTCTCCAGTTTTTTAAAAAACGACTTGTTCCGAAGAACGCCACCATCGCTGATTCTGCCTTGACAGCCGATATCCACATAAGTAAAACCATAATTCGAGTTCACGACAGCCATAAGTACAATACTGAAAGTTCCCTTATAATTATAGTATTCAGATCCACTATTTGCAGGGCATTGGATCACTATATGTTTTCCGTCAATAGCCCCGAGGCAGTTGGGGAAATTCCATTTTTCATAAAAATCTGCTGCTATATTTTTCCAATCACTTTCATTGTTTGGCAACTGAAAAAACAATGATTGATTTTCATTATATGTTGCGTTTTTTATTTTAAAATTTTATGTAAACTGTTTTTATTATAACCATAATTAATGATCATCCCCTATACTCCTATGATCAAATCACTAATAGTTAAATTAACATATAAATGCAACTGAGTTTAATTATTCATATATGTTGACAATGTACATATAGGTATTTATATTTATATACTATTTGTAAAATGAAGAGTATACAATATATACATATATTAATCATTTTAAATATAAATACAATTAATTTACTACCTATTGATCTTTAGTAGAGTATTGTAATTTATCATTTAAATAATCAAACAAACTTAACAAACCATATATTTCATTATTTTTATCAGTTTGAAAATTTGGAGGATGACGACTACATTATTGAAAATTGTCAGTTGCACGACACAACTGAAATCTATGATCCTCAGACTCCGGATTGCAATTTTAAGAGCCCATCTCCATCATCCAGTAAAGTCAGTAAAAAAAGAAAATCAAATGATAAAGTGGAAGTGATTTCAAATTTGATTTTATTAATTATTTGTTTTTTTTTTTTAAATATTATTTAATTAAAAGGTATTATTCTAAAAAAAGATATGTTTTAAAATATAAATACTTTACCATGATTTCATTTTTCAACTCCTGATTTAACGCCCTACAAACATCTTGAATACACCGGGAAACAGTTTGACTTGAAAACTTAAACAAGTATGATAAGCTCTTAAAGCTATCTCCTGTGGCTAAGAACCTTAAGGTAACAGCTAGCCTTTCCTGAACCGGAATACACTTTCTCATATTTGTATCAGTTTTGCATATAGTTGGACCAATTTTTTGAATTAGATATTCAAAGTCTATGGCAGACATTCTACAGAAGTTTTCAAACTTGTTAGATGGCCCTCGTTTTAAATCTTCTAACAGATCCGTTGCATTGTACCTATTGTAGTATAATATATTATTAATAATATTAAGTATTATACAACTATAGTATAATATTATTTTATTTTTTTAATTTAGTATTTTCTATCAAAAACTTGTTAACTATAAGTTTAAAAATAAAAAAACTAGCTTATAAGAAATTATAAACTGTTATGTTCTTGTATGTACATTTAAAGTTACTTGTATATATATTTAAAGTTTAACTGTTAAAAAAAGATGGTCAGAAAAAACTTAACACTAAATATAAATAAATTAAACTAAAATTAAATTTAAAAAACTTAAAATTAAATATTAATTTACATAAGCAAACTTACCTCGCACAGCTTTTGTAAATGTCATGCATCCAATATCTTCTTTCCTTGCAGGATTTCGTTTTTTTTTTTTCGACTTATTTTTCTTTTAAATACTCACCGCCTACAATTACAATATACGCTGCTGCACAAGCAGCAATTTGCGTGTTATCAAAAGAACGACTCATTTCGAACTGAGACTTTTGACGTCTAAAATAATTTTGAGGTAACTCTGATCGGCTCGGATAAGCTCGTGGCTCGCCAAGTCACGCGCCGTGGGAATGCTGTTGACATTGTAGGCTCGTGATATGCCGAGCATACATGTGGGCTCGGTACAACCACCGCGCTGCGCGAAGTTCGCCGAGCCACGCGCCGTGGGAACCCGCCTTTAGTCTTGAGTCCGGTTATCTCAATCAGAGGACCCATTAACAAAATTGTTAATATGCCTATGATCTCAATACTTCATACACGTATACAGCATACCTATAGGCTATTACACAATATTAACAGGCTGACTGGAATTTGTGCGTGTGTGTGTATGTGTGTGTGTGTGTGTGTGTGTGAATTGTGGGATCAGCAGTGGACGGGGTAGCCGAGAAAATACTGATGAGCTACGTGTGATTGGAGTGTGTGAGTGTGTATATATTATATTTGTATATGAAGTGTGATGTGTACTTAAAGTTAAAACTATTAAATAAAATGGTAACGCGGATTACTTTTATGCTAAGGTATTGGTGTATAATTTAGGTAAACTTAAATAATAGGTACAAACTTAAATAAAATCCGGCTCTTCTGGCTCAACAAGTAAACTATAATTAATAATATAAATATATGCTGCTATGTGGCACAACCAATATTGCATATTTATATAAGAATAATCATAATAATAACAAATACAAATAAAGACTCACAGTTTTAAGGTGCACTGCTGACTAGGTCGTACCTGTATCTAAAGAATAACTATGTGATTTTCACACACGCACACAAAATTATGCAAAAAGGTTTGCGAGTTATACGATTTTAATAAAATGGCAATTCGTGCCTGCGACGTATACAATAATAATTGTAATAATGTGGTAATTTAGGCCAGTGAATTAAACACAAAAAATTGATTTTTGCAGTTACAAAAAATAATAGCCGTGCGGCGAATTACGGACGCTTCAATAATTTAAAACGTACAAACTTGCGACGCTGCGATGCATCTGTGTGCTGCGAAAACAAAGGACGTTATAACGTAATAACGAAAAATAAACAAGAAGACTGCACGTCTGCACGTAACACGAGACGGCGTTCGACAAGTATAAAATTAACATATTATATAATTCATAAATTCACAATAATTATTAATTAATGGTACAATGTGTTAGTTTAAATTTGTGTGTGTATGATGTCGTAGGGCTGCGCAGGCGCGCAGCCCGCGAATCCGGTTTACCTTAGATAACGCGAGTATCGGTGGCTACGCAAACAGTCATTATCCGTCTATATTCGGAGCACAGAATGTTCGAGTTAACTATAGATTTTTTTTCGAGTTGGTAATTGAGGTTTTAGCAAGAGAACAGCATTTTTTTCTACTTATCAAGGTTTTCGTCTTATCGAGGGTCCACCGTAAGTACCACGATTGGAAATTCGAATATGTTATACGACATTTCTGACTCCTTGCCGTACCATAATAAATTAATAGTGTAACCATCCATGATCCATATCGATTATCGAGTATACCAGTGTTGTAAGGAATACTTTTATCTTGTATTCAGAATAGATACACAAATTAATGAAAATTAATGTGTTCAGAACACGTATCGTATAGGACCTATACTTATTGATTATTAATTATTACTTATAACTTCTAAGTTATAACTAGTGGAAATAAAATATCATAGTCGTTGTCACAGTTGCAGATGCATGCACCCGGGCATCCATTTATCTCGTGTTGTGACGACTGGCGAGGGTATGCGGCAGGCAATTTATATTCTCCAAACTCTCTCCCGCATATGACTACTGTATAAAAAATACGAGTAGTCGCCGAGTCAATGACACTGTCTATGATACACGTGCCGCATTACCGTGTTAATAATTGGATATTATAATGTCATGATGTCTTCAATAAATAAATTTACAAGAAACGAATGAATAAATAAACAAGGATAACTATTATTGTTATATATTCATGAATTAATATTTTATATTTTAGTTAAAATATGTAAAGTTATCTCCCGAATGTGTAGAAAATCGAATATGATTATAATCCGAACTCTAACAGTTGACATAATTTGAATTTCAGTCAAAATAATTTATGACCACACTATACGCGTTTTTAATTGAAAAATAAATAAACTGCCTATTTGAGTGTCACATTTAATGTTACTGTCCAGATGATTATTATTTTCCCAGTTCTAGCGTTGTACATTCTACATTTCAAATAAACTAGACAACTATAATGGTTTTCGTAGAAATGGGTCACATTACGCACATCTGCTGCCGGTCGGGACATCAGACACAAACATGCCAGTCACTATCGTTGTGTTGTGTTATCTGTCTTTAAATTAATGACACATTAACAACATTGGGTATTATCTAATCAAATTTTAGTCAAACCGAAAATACAAATAATTTAGAACATTTCTGCACAAGAATATAAATAATTAATTCAAATGTCGGAGAAAAAATTGTTTCTGTATCGGATCAGATAATAGATTAATAAAATGTTGAATTCTCAATTATTTATTTGTTTATTGCAGCTAATGAAAAATATATTTAATGTTTACTGTCATTGTATTAGTCGTAAATCAACTTTGAAGCGTTATCTACTTTTATAATCAATGTTTTAATTGTAATATTTTTTTAACGAATTTCTTCGAGATGTGTTGTTTTATCTAAATATTTAGTTAATGTTTTTCATGGATTTTTTTCGAAAAGTACCTTGTGGCTTAACCTACCAACCAAGAATTTGGAAAGCTTTTATTTTCATTTATCGTTAAAAATACACAGCATGTATTATAAATTATAAAAAAATTTCTACCTTAGGGTTTTAACTGTTTAACGTATGACTGCGATAGCATGTGAAACACGATTGCGCCCTCCATATATTTTTACATGCAAAAAACGCAACACCGTAGAACTCAAAGTTAAAATTAGAAGTTTGAGTGACACAGTGATACTAAATAAATAATAATATGAACTATAACCAACAGTCAACTACAGCTCTAATATAAAATCCGACTATAGTCTGTAACAGTATCGCTTGACGCGCATACCTACTGATATCTACGGATAAGATAAATTAACAATAAAATATTATCTCGATGAATGGAGTGCTTGCTGCTTGTATACGTATAATATAATAATAATGACTAAAATATCCAGTTTTCATTTAGCTTATGCCTTGTAGGGCGTTATAGGATATCGATCTTGAAAGTTGTATGTCTTTATGTTATAGAGGCGGTATACCTACGTCCTCCACAGATATTGGAAAAATACGTTTATCAAAAAAAAAATATGATAAATGTTTATAATACTGTGTAAATGTGTAATAAATATGGATCGAAACTAGGACTTTCAGCTTCAACTTTGAATTGACCACTTCGACTGTATTTTTAAATAAATATTTCATTGGAAAACTGTTAGAATTGATTCGCATTGTATTTTTTCATGTATAATGGTAGGACGGACGCTATCGTGTTACGGCCGCTGCGGCAGGGGATCGTTTATTGTCGTTTATTGTCATACTAGTATGCTGTGACCAACGGACAGAGGGTAAGAGGGGAGTCAATGGAATTTCCTTGGTATTTTCTTTTTGTATAATACATCCGTCGCACAACACTTATACGCGCATGCGTAAAAGGACTTATGTACAGGATAATATAATATTTTAGAGAACGATCTTAAAACTCGTCTGTCGATACGCATCGGTCCCCCTTTTATACACCAAACCATACCGGTCGGTAGCCGGTCGACCACAATCAGCGATAGGCCGACTGTACAGTAACTGTATAGCATATACTGTATACGTAGTGGTAGCAATCACAAAGATTTCAGTATTTGTTTTTGAACTGACGTTTACGTTAAAACGTATATTTTGACGAGCACTTTTGCATATTATCTATAATTATTTGTATAACATACAATATGGCTAAAGATATGGGTACTACAACCACAATATAACCAACGTGGTGACACAATGCATTTTCCAATTGCCATGTGTTTTTGGAAGACGCTGTATACGCGCCACCGAGTGGTGGGAATTGAACCATGAAGGGAAAAATCCAGCTAGTGGCACTCTCGAGTCGCGACCGTCTGGCGTCAGTGTCGATGTGCTCGTATATTGCTGACATACCTGTTGGCTTTGTCTCGGATTACGGTCGTTCTGTCGTTGGCGTGTGAGTACAGTAAAATATTGTGTATTTTCTGGCTACACCTGCCGCCGAAGTCTAGCAGAAAGACGTCCTTTTTAAGGTACTAAATATTTTTTTGGCGTTATTGATGTTATTGCTGTTATAATAATTATTATTATTATTAATATTGTTATTATTATTCGATACTGTGCAGTAAAATGTCAATATTTTTACTATAACTATAGTTAGTGGATGCAATAGACTTTTAGCATGTTCTCAGTACCACAGATGTAGGCTTACATTAGGCCTACCATGCAGGCTCGCGATTTATGATAGCTGCCTACTTAGAATATACATTATGATTCACCAAGCATGCTCACCCCCATTTTTCCTTAAATAATGAATTTATTCAAATTCCGGTATTTTGAGTTTTTAAATAGACTAAAAGACCATATTTTCAAATTTTTGAATTATTTGTTCTACTTAATGAGTGTCATGTGGTGATACAAACTTCTGTTTTTAAAATGAGAACACCTCTTTTACTATAAATTAAGAAGTGGATCATTTTTTTGAAAATTTTGATATACCACATTTAAAACTCCAATGAGTAGTTTCTTGGTTATTAAAATGTTTAAGTCCTTAAAACTGATTTTACATGAACATAAAATAGACTCAACATTTTAAATAGTATTTATTATATTTGGGAAACTTTTATAAATTATTAATATCGATAAATAAATATAAATGACTAAAATTTTCAAATCACCATAGACTAAATATCTTATAAACTCATTACTATGGAACTTATATCCTTAGAACACAAAGTTAAATAATTAAAAAGCTACTAGAACAAATTTTGATTTTGATATGTCGACATTTTCAAAAAATTATCTGCTGTTCAATTGATTGTTTACTAGGGATATTCTCATTTGAAAAAAACAGAAGTGAAGTTTGTATCTTCGCGGGACACTCCTTAAGAAGTACAAAAAATCTTAAGAATTTAAAACTATGGTCTTAAGCTAAAATTAAATATCAAAAATCAGATTTTTCAATAACTGCATTATTGAAAAAAAGGAGGTGAGCATATTTGGTGAATAACCCTGTATGTAAACCTATCGTTATTGACAACTTTTTTTGTTTCCAGTGCATTATAACATATTTTTCTTCTTTTTTACGAAGTTTTCGAAATTCAGTTTGGATTGGTTACCTCTGCGATTAAAGAATATAATATATTCTGTTCCGTGACTGTAGGTGGTTGAAAATTATATAAAAATGAATAGTGTAAACATTATCAGTTTGAGTTTCAACAACGATCTTAGTGAGTACACAAATAAAAAATATCATGGCTAAGTAACGTTGTGTTGTAGATAGTATCGCTGGAGTGCTGAATGTACTACAAAGATCTTCAAACTTTTGTCGTGTTTCAGCTCGTTTTTCGTGTTGTACTACAACTGGTGTTCGAGTATTCCAACTTGAACCTTTGAAGGCGCGAGAGAGGATTAGTAAGTTGATGTTAAATAACGCAAAAGGAGGTGGTGATTTTTTAGGCACTACATTTATGATCGAAACCATATAATTGTTTGTAACATACAGATAGAGGTGGTGCATTGAGTTGCAAGATTATGAAATTTCAATGTTTGTTCGCCATAGTTCATAGTTCAAAGTACTCAGATTACTCTGAGAAAACTGTCATGATATTCAATAATATGAAAAAAGATTTTGAGAAGACGATTGAGTATAAATCAGTCGTAAAATCTGTGCGAACGAGCCGTAACAAGTTAGTATAAACCTTAATCATTTTTATTTTAACGTAATATTCAATAGTATTCTTTTAAATTTATTACTTAGAATCATAGTTGTAACTTTGAACGAAATATTTGTGTATACGTTTCCTGTAATCCTCAACAACATTCGTAAGTTATTGACGTTGGGTACATGCCCAAACCCGATGGGACTGTGTGAAGTCACTCCTTTAGAAACTTCTACACAACAAATCATTGCATATCCTGGGTCTTATATTGGAACCATTGATATTTTGGTAATTCCAGATAATATTATATTGTACAAAGTTGTGTACAAAAAAAACTACTTTTATTTTAGGATATTTCATGTCTTAAACGAAGGGGACATGTGAATAGTGGAAGAATAGACACAATATACGGTGCTTACATTGGAGAGATTTCTGGTTTGGCTATTAATAAACTCGGTACACTTATAGCTAGTGCAGCTTCTGAGGAAATGTATATCAAAATTTGGGATACTTGTCGTAAAATCAAAGTTGCAGAAGTAAGACGGGCAGATATAGCAACAATATATTGGTATATAATTTCTTGTTTATACTTTTTTAAGTTTGATAAAATAAAAATGTAATAATATGGTTCATTTATAATCAAATGTTTAATTTCCTTGTATTTTCACAGCATAAACTTCAGTCCAAATTCAGAATTTATATGCTGCTCAGGTGTCGAGGGTACAATTGAAATATTTGCAGTGATAAAATTTGATATAAATACTCATGTTAGTCCAGAACCATACTCAGCATATGTTGTAAGTGAACACTGTCAAATACCGAAATCTATCGCCATTTTCAGTATACCTTCAAAAGTAGGATGTATTTGCACTTTTTTGACTCTAAATACTGTTGCAGGTAAGAATAAAATTAGTTTTTAATAACATTGTTTAGCATATGTAACTGGCCATTTGTCGATATTTTGTAATCAATAAACTATTGTTGTTGACAGTTTGCTTATATATTAATATTATGATGCGTATTTTATTTTAATGAAGTTGCATTGATTCTATGTTACAGTAATTGGCCTTGATGGTGTGTATTACAAGTTTGAATACTCCGATGATGGTTACGGCAGGATAAAGGAGACCCAAATGTTAATGTAAAAATGATGATGAAATTTAAATGTATTTGATGACCAAAACTTTTAAATAATATTTATTTATTGTAAGTTAATCCTAATAAATTTATAACTAAATTTAAGTGACAATCTTGTAAAAATAAAGATTTTATTATATTATGATAAACGTATAATAGATTTATAGTTTTTGAATTATATAACTATGTAAGGCAATTGTCAAGTTTTTTTATTGTTTTCAAATTTTGATTTAGTTCAAATAATAAATTATTTTCAAGATAATATTTTTCATTATAAACATACACATATTATTGAATAATGGAAGCCTGAAGTACAAAACTTTTTACGTTAGGATTGATCTTTGTTTAGTATTTAATTTTAATGATACGCTGTATTGAACAAATTTTCTTTTGTTACATGCAAATATATTTTTATTTTACATATATTTAAAAAATGTTCATATTGTACATAAAAGATTTTTAATATAGTCATGGAAAATACAGGTCTGAAATGATATTTAATAATAATATCTATAATTATTTATTTGGATGTATATATTATATTAATGTGGGTGAAACAATTTGTAAGATCTGTACTTAATAACCAATTAATAATTTCTTATTCGTCTATACTAAATTTTATAACCAATAGCAACCCTATAATAAACGAAAATATATTATTTAAAAAAAATTCTTAAATTTTGAATTAAAAAAAATTGAAGGCCACTCATTGAAGTCATATATTGTCTTAGATCCTTGGGATTGTGTAGCTTTCTGATGGTAAAAAAGTTTTAAATGTATTAAGTACTACAATCAAAGAAACAATTGTCAACTTTTCTTCTTTATATATTAGTACATATTGAAATTGTTGTTTACTGGGTAAGTAAATTATTATCATAATTCTATAGACAACAAAGCTCGCTTTCTGTTGTATGAAGGCTTTTGGTTTTATACTGTTAAAAAGAAAATGTCTTTAAACTGAAGGATTAAAATGGTTTAAAAAAAAAAAAATTAAAGAGTCATTTATAATTACAAATAATTTGCATCATTATGTTATATAATATAAATTGTATTACTGCCATATTTATAATATTATATGTATATATATTGTACTTGGATCTTGTGATTCGTTGAAATTTAAAATTATAAAAAAAAATAAAAAATCGAATTTACATAGTTTATTACTATACGTTTAGCACAAAAATAAACTTGGATACAAGAAGTTGGACAGAAGTGAAATAAGTCGTGTTATTGTTGAAAAGGGATTGACTGTGCGGGCTCGTAATATTTAATGCTGGACATTAACGCATTAATACGTTTAAGTTAATTTTTTTTATTATTATTAACTTAAGGAGTACAAAAAATTAACTTTGAGATAACTGGATTTAAACAAGACCATGTTCTAAAAACGCTACAAAAAGCGTCCGTTTAAAGTTTATCAGCCGATAGGACTTCCTCTTCTTTTTTTAAGTCGGCAAAAGTACAGGTGGATTTTTGCGCCCTGGGTCAGCCATAATTTTCCAACCCCCCCTCCCCCCCCCTTACCAAAATATAGATCCTTTTTTTTCTTTACATATTTTTAGTAATAATTCATTATTTCTAAGTTCACCTGGGTCTACAAATTCTTTTCAAAAAAAAAATATTTATTGATACAATACTGCACCGGGTTACAGCGGTGCCCCACGCATAAGTCTAAATAGATCAATATTTGGCCGCCCATTGCAAATGTCCCCATTCCCCCCCCCCCCTAAATACGGTCCTACACTGGAGAGTTTACACATTTCCTTCAGGTAAACATCATACTGACCCTGGAGAGTTACCCATTTGGAGAGTTTACTAGTTTTTAAATCGAGATAGCTTACCAACACCCCCCAAAAAAAAGAAAAGAAAAAAGGTAGGTATTTATTATTATTTATTATATTTCGACTATAAATTAAATGACAACGATGCCTCTTTAATCTCTATTGAGCTAATATTCAGATTTCAGATGTACCTACTCATCTTTTCAAATATATTTTTTATCAATTGTTTTGAAATCAATTAAATTTCAAAAATGGCCATACAGTTTTCCTCCTTATTTAAAGTATTTATTTTTTCCATTTTTTTCATTTTATTTTAGTGTGAATTAATTACAACATAAAATAGTTTTTTTGTTGGAATTTTTAATAAATTTTAAGTTTTATGAAAAGTATCTAGTATTATCTAATTTTTATTCATATTTGACATTTTTTCATGCATATTTTACAATTTTTTATTTTTATTTTCCCTTTTATAGCTCCTGTAACTTCCGAGCATTGCATACTATACAAGTTCGAGATAATGACGTATCATCGTATCACAAAATAATAATAATTAGTTTCGGTAAACTATTTCGCAAATCGCTGCACAGTCTCGATCAGTAAACATTGTAGTAATTTATTGTTTGTATTATTGAGCATCGCTCCTTTTTGAAATAACTATTTATGAGTATCAAAACATAATTAAACATCCCCGCTGTTCAAATAATTTATAATATTGATAATAATTAAAGACCGTAAAATATTTAGTTGTACACTTGTACCTATTATCTTATATAATATTTAGTACTCTACTTAATAGTATATGCTTCGAAATTCTAACCACGTTCACAGTTTACAACTTCATGTATTTATATAAATTATACCTATTGTTGATAAAATACCGAAGTTCATAATATGATTTAATCATTATTAAATGGTGGATGTTTATGCTACAAAAAACGACATTATATGCCTAAAAAAAATGTAAGCAAATGCTCAAAAACATTATTAAACTCCTAAAAAATGTGAAAATATGCTCAAAAAAACATCATATCTGCAAATGAAATAGTAAAAAACATTTATTTAGACTGTTAAGATTAAGAACTTAAAATTAAATGGATGAATAATATAACATTTTTTAATTAAATGATTATTATTTTTTAATGAATGTAAAATGTATTTCGTTTTATTTACTGAAATAATGTGCAGTGCATCTTTTTGTTTCGTTCGCTAATTGCATCATTTTATGAATAATATGTGAAGCTATAGCACAAATTGTTCTTTTTGAAAATACATAAACAATAGTAGTAGAGCTAGTTTTACACTGAGGAACATTAAAATTGAGAAAACTTAATAGTTCTGGACAGTCAATATAACCATCTACAAGTTCAAATAAAAATGTTAATCCAACATTTTTTCTTCTTTCTAATAAACTAAGTACTAACAATATGAAACATATTTAATAATAGCTGGTAAAGAGAATGTGGCTCACGAGTAATATTACATTTGAAGGCTAAAACATGTTAAGAAACGATTTTTTACGTTTTACCTATAGGCTATATTATCTAAGCAGTGAATTTGATATTTTATGTGAAGGGAAAAAAAACAGAATTATTATTCATTAATATTTAAATAATACTGGGAAGTCCTATATTACAATAAACGTTATGCACCTAATAATAAACATTACACACGTAGGTTGTATGTACCTACTGGATATATACGATTAAATACTATACAAATACAATGATTTAAAAGGTTTAATCTCAGTTCTATATACTGGTAATCAATGAAATTTAATAATGTAAGTGGCAAGATAGGCCACAAAATGCTTTAAAATATTTTACCTATTTATTTACTCATTGTTTTACCATACATTTTATATAGTATATTAGTATGTGGTATGACAAGTACCTACTAACTTCAGTACTCAGTGCCACATTTAGACATTTTGCGCCTTGGTGAAAAAAAAATTGATACCACAAAATCCCTCATGACATTTTTAGATTTTGAGCAAATAAAAGAATCTATGAGTCCTACAATAATGTGTGGTTTTTTAGAAATATTCAATGATAAAATGAACCCCCTTTCTCTTTGCAGAAGTTAAAATTGAGCGTATGCCACTCGAGATCTACTTATCATTCATCATATAAGTTTTTTTTATACTTATTTAGGTACTTCATGGCCCATGGATCATATTAATTTTATTACGAAGAAAATAAATATAAATGTAATACAATTATATTATAAACTTATTATGTTATATTTTTCAATAAACATATAACTTTTAATAAAAACAATTTAAAAATTCTTTTGTTAAATCTATATTATATATTATCCATGCTGATATTATAAAGTAGAAAAATTGTTCGTTTATTTGCTTGTTCAGGATAATCTTTGGAACAACTCTACCGATTTTTAAAAAAAAATTAAAATTGGAAAATTACAGTTTCTGAAAGATTTATATGCTATATTTTAACGATAAATGGCCCTAATTTTTTTTGTTTCAAATCTTTTATAAAACACAGACAAATTATAAAGTTTTGTTTATTATAGAGTTTCTGTAGGTTACAACAAATACAATAGTAACTATTATTGTGATTAAATATGATTTTAGACCTATATTTTATATTTGATGAGAACCATCTAAATTACTTAATTAAAATTGTTTAATGGTGATTAAGATTGTATGCGTTCGCGCCGGGAATGCTACAATAATAGAGTGTGTTGCCCGGTCGCCAGAATACTTCACATGCACACCGACCGACCTGTGTTAATGTGTGTATAATAAGTGTTATAGTTCAACTAGAATTGGTTGGGTTCGCTGCGCAAATACTAGTGAGCTATGTGGTGTGGTGGTGTGTAAGGTGTTTATATATGTTGGTGTGTAAATTTAAACGGCAAATGACAGTAAGGTAATGTAAAAAATGGTAACTCTATTTAATAATGGATAACACGATTGCTGGTAAATAACTAGTTGCTGTATAATACAAATCTAAATAATAATAACATAAATATATAAAAAATCACAGCAACACAGTAGGTATAAAAAAATATGATAGTATAATAAATAGGTAGTGCACGCTCTTAGCCAAGTGGTATGAATATTACCATAAATAGTAGGTAATAATGCACGACCCTTAAGACCGAACAGAATATTATTAAAGTATAATTTAGCCCTTCTGGCTCAACAGCGTAAGTATATATAATTTAAGCAAATAAGATAATGTATGCAAAATGATGTGCAGCCCTTATAACCCAACAAAAAAAAAAATAATAATTATACGGCCCTTATGGCACGCAAAATAATAATAATAATATAATAACAAAA